CTTTGTCTTAATGTCCTGTGAAATGTGGAGAACCATTCTGTGCACATAAAGTGCACTCTACCAGATGGTATTTGATGGCTGTGTTCATCTTTAACATGAACAGAATATTAGGTTAGAGAAAATTTGTTTTCTTTTTCAAATTTTCCATTTGCCAGTGTCTAAGAACATTGCTTCCTTGGATAAATACTTTTGCTTCCCTATTGGTGCTTCTGAAAAATGAGGGACTCTTAAGTCAGATGCTGCAAGTAATCTGGTTGAGCGGACTGGAAAGAGTAATTTCTTTGATTTTTTAAAGGAATCATTTGTTCTTCAGGCAAAATTAAAATTAAATTTAAATTAAAGAAAAGACTTGCTTTAATCTTAACCATGTTATTAACCATATATTAGCAAACCAGTGGCTAAAGTGCATTACTTGCCAGACATCCAAAATACACATCATTTATTCATTTAACCAGAGATATTAAAGTGGTCAAAGTAAACTGAGGAGCTCCTCTTCCACATGCTTGCCTCCAGATCTGACAACCTCCTTGCTGTTCTTGAAACTCACTAGGCCTGTTTCCACCTCTGACCTCTTGCTGGAATGTTCTTCCCCACGTGACTTACTCTTTCACCTTTTACAAGCATTTGCCAAAATTTCACATTTTCAGTAAGTCTGTCATGATCACTTCTCTGTAAGTGTAAATCCTCACCCTGCTCTCCATATATGTCCTTCGTGAAATATTTTGTAGTTCAGCAACACGTATAAAGATCTGAAAACAAAATATTCTAATTAATTTTTAAATTCATTTTCCTCCACTACCATGTAAGTTGTATAAGGGCAGGATTTTTGTCTGTGTGGTTTACTGCTGCAGCCTCAGTGCTTAACACAGTGTAGATGCTCGATAAATATTTGTTGAATTCATGAGTGATTACTGTAAATAATAGTATTATTATTCTCATTTTGTACTTGAGTGCATTATCTGAGAAGAGATGGTACAGCTGAGGTTGAATCCAGGTAGCTGGCTCCAGAACCTCCCCCGTTAAACTCAAAATAAGCCCCAGAAAGATAACTGCTATCTTACTTTTCTCAGGCTTTGAAGAAGAGATTTGGATATGACTTGATTTATCAAAAACAAACACATAAAATGTTTTGTTCACTAAGAAGAAGCAATTTCTATCTTGTATATTATGGAAAATATTGAATAACACTATGCTCCCATTTTCAAGATGATACAGTTATTACTCTCTCTAGATAAAAAAGATGCATCTTTCAATTAAGTAAAGTACAGAGAAATCTGGTTGGAATGATGGCAGAAATAGTGATATAATTGAAGTCATATGCATTTTCTATTTACCAGTAAAGTTACTATTAGGTTTAAATGAGACAAGACATGCAAAATGTTAATATAGTTTCTGACATATTATAAGCAGTTATTTTGAGATGGCTGGTTAGATTTCTATATAAAAAACCTTTAAATATTGCTAATAGAAATATATTTAGGGCACATATACAAACATAATCAAATCCTAATACTTGAAGAGTAAATGCTTCTGTTGATATTTCCAGTTTTTCCTTTTATGGATTATTTCTCACCTTTGGACATTGACAAATAAAGATGACATTGTGTATACAAGTGCTAACTCATGTAATGGATAGATTGCAGAACTTTGATGAATATTATACCATTTCCTTTTGCTTTCTTGGCTGAAAAACTGTAAATACTTCCTAATTATTATACCACCCCAGACCCTGGAACACCAATAAAGGATTGTGTGAAAAGATAAATATGAGGAAATAAATCAAATAAGAATTTCCTTTTAAATCCTAGGTCTTCAAAGTTTCCAAAATGGGCACAACCTTACATAAGAATGAAGTAGGCAAATTACTGACATTCACAATCCTTAAAAGACCGAGGTATTTGAGTGGTCAAAATAAAACTGAAGAAATATTTCAAACTACCTCTGGGATAGAAAGGAATTAACATAAAAATAATGAAATACAAATAAAAAACACAATACTCACGGTGCTCTCATCTTACATAAAGGATATTAAATATTAGAGTAGATCTGATGTAATAAAAGATTCAATATTAATCTGGACTTAAAATTGTTTACGTGAAGGTATCTTGTTTAAGAATGCATTTCTTCTGGCTTTTATGAAACACAAGATTATACAATATTTCTCAAGAAAAAAATTAAAACAGCAACAGCATAGCAATAAACAAACAAAAAGAACTTGATCATATCTATAACAACATAACAAGTAACATTTATTGACCAAGAGAAAAACAACAGAAAATGTTCAGTGTAAACTTTTTAGGGTTAAGATATAGTCTCCAGATATAATTCTCTGTTTCTTCAAAATGTTAGCTGAGTATCATTATTTGTGGTTCCTATCTAGCAAATAACAGAATACAAGGAAAAATACCAAGCATCTACTATCCATTTTATTGAGTGCATTCTTAAAAATTTCTTTGCTTCTTATTTTCTACTCTTAGGCTTCCATTATGACTAACTCAATGAAATCTAAAATTTTGGATTTTGGCTGACATGGAATGTTTAAAAAATATTTTACCCTAGCTAACTTATTACTTTCTTCTTCATTTACTCTTTTTATTCCATTTTATTTTGGTGTGTGTGGCACGGAGAGGGTGGGGAGCTGGGGGAGAAAGCAATAGACTTTATCCCAAAGAAATAAAAGATTGGCCTGGAAAAACAAGTACTTTTGTTTGCTTAATTAAAAATTGACTATTATGAGGATATAAGGGAAGAACCTACACTTTAGTAAAATGGTTACTACCATAATCCATGAGGAAGATGGTGGTAGAGAAGAAATTCGGACAGAGCCAGATACAGCAGATATTTGAGATAAATCTGGTGGGATCTGCTGACGGGTTGCATTGGAGAGTAAGAGTGAGTGCTCAAAGTGTGGCTATGAGCCCTGAGAAAGTAGGAGAATGGAGTTGCAGGTATTTACTGAGATGATGAAGCAGTGAAAACAATAGGTTATTGTTTGAATATCTTTTATTTTTTGAGGTATGTCAAGATGGAGAGGAGATCTAGATTTGGGGTTTTTAACCTTTTAAATCGGAGAGGCTTATTATTATTCATCTAATGTGAATCCATGTAGGCAATTGGATACACATCTGAAATCCAGAGGAAAGGGCTAGCCTAGAGATATGACCGTCTTTAGCAGATAGAGAGTATTTATAGCTACACTATTGAATGAGATGAGCAAATAAGTGAAGTTCAAGGACCAATCTTTGGAACAATCCAATACAAAATAAGTCTTATAAATGAGGAGAAATCAGCAAACAAAAATGAGGAACTACAGTTGATAATACGAGGATTGAAAGCAGGACAATATGATGTCATAGGAGCCATGTGAAGGAAGTATATCACTTTTGTGAGACCCAGATTAAATGATCTTGCAAAGCTTTTCTTACAGAACCTGGCCCAATATTCAGTAGTTTCTTACTGACTGAAATATTATTTTCAGTTGTCCCTTGATTCTGTAGTTTATGTGGTCCAATAGAGGCTTCTGCCCATTAATCCAATGTGGTAGCTGATAAAGACATTCAATGAGCAGCACTGTGTAATCCATGTCAAAGCCAGCTGATCTGCCACTAAGAACAATATGTTCTTGCCTGTCTGAACAGCGAATTTCACACTCAGCTTCTTATGGCTGGGACAGTTATTATCTAGTCACTGAAAGAAACTCACATACTTATTCCTCTCTCAGGTCCTGCTAACTCCAGGGCAGTTCCTGTCTGTGGAGAGGCTGGTGTTTCTGCCAGGCTAGTCACCTAAAAATAAAATACATCTGGACCTTTATCAGATAGTTCCCCCCTTTGTAGCATCATGCTTAGGCAGATCCTTCTTTCAACTCTCTGACAGCATCCAAATTTCTTTCTTTATCCATGTCTTTTATAAGAGGATCAAATGACTCACTGGAAAAAGAACTGATTTAATGTTTTTGAAGGTAAAACTCAGTGCCATAGAACAAGAGTATCTTTATTTTGGGCAAGAGAAACTTGGAACTAAAAGTCAAACTATATGTTTTCTTCTCCGACTTGGGTGTTGAAGGGAAGAAAAACCAACAAAAAGGTTAATATTTATTGAAAGCTTACAATGTACCAGATATTAGTCTATGTGCCTTGATAAACATTATTTCAATTAAACCTCTCAAGCTCTATTAACACTTGTATTGTTATACAGTCCTTGTTTTAGAAATGGGTACACAGAAATAATCACATAGGACAATTGGAGTCCAGTTTTGAAGTCATGTTTTGTGGCTATAAATTCAGGATTTTTAACCAGAAAGTTAAACTGATTTGAATTATTATCTTGACATATTCTGAACAGAAAAAGAAAAGAGTATATGTTAAACACTTTATTGACACTGTAAAAATGTATATAGAGTTTAACACCTTTTTTGTTTTTTTTTTGAGACAAAGTCTTGCTTTGTTGCCCAGGCTGGAGTGCAGTGGCATGATCTCAGCTCATTGCAATGTCTGCCTCCTGGGTTCAAGCAATTCTCCTGCCTCAGCCTCCCGAGTAACTGAGATTACAGGTGTGCACCACTGTACCTGGGTAACTTTTTGTGTTTTTAGTAGAGATGGGATTTCACCATGTTGGTTAGGCTAGTCTTGAACTCCTGACATCAAGTAATCTGCCCACTTTGGCCTCCCAAAGTGCTAGGATTAGAGGCTGAGCCACTGCGCCCGGCTAGCAGCTTTTATTTAAATTATAAACAGACATATAAAATAAATTTATTAATTAATAAGATAGGTAAACCTTGGGAAAATGATTATTTCCACACCAGACAGGATTATGTATTCAGAAATGGATCAGATATTAATGTTTAATTTTATACTTTGCCATTAGGCCATGCTTTAATCTTTATTCTTTAACACTGTCATGGACATTCTATGCTATTAGTTTCAAGCTTTTGTATTACACCGTAATGAGTGGGTGCTGTATCAATTACTTGATAATTGAATTATGTTTTCTCTCTGAAGGCAGCTGATCGAGAGGGAGACCCAATAACATATGCCATTGAGAATGGAGATCCTCAGAGAGTTTTTAATCTTTCAGAAACGTAAGTAAAAAATGATTTCCTACTTTAAAAAAATGTACAGCAATGTACTGTTAGCAGGAGAACAGACTTCTAATTAGAGGCTTTCAACTGTGTGTAGTTGTACTTCCCTTTTTGTTTTCTATGAATGTTAATGGTAGCTCAGAGGATAATTCTGAGCCCAGAAATCTTACCCAGGAGACTGTTTATTTTTAACATTTTTACTAGGTAAACTCTACTGAGGTGGAAACATTTCATTGGAAGGCTTAACTGGGATTAATTAGATCCTTTTAAAGTTGTCAGCTAGTAATAATGACAAGGACATTACTGCAAAAGGTTACTTAGCACTAAACCGTGTATTCAAAGGGAGTCTTGTAGGCAAGATGTATTACAAACACATCCTTCAATTTCAGATTAACATAGATAAATTTAAGAAAAAAAGCAAAATGAAATAAAATACATGTTCATGCCAAACTTCTTTGAGGTCTAGATCAGTGTCATTCTACTTATCTCTCCGAATACATCTGAGATATTGCTAATGATAACTATTGAGAAAACTGGGAGCAGACATTAAAAGGAGGCATTTAGGGCTTCAGAGAGACCATTTGCTTCCCATTTGCAATAGCAAGGTAGCTGTTCTGCTGTCACATGTGGCTGGTTTCTAAAGACCTTGGCTCTCCTCTGGTATTTCCTGTGTACTTATGAATAGTTTTACTTTCTGAAAGAATAGAAATGTAAACTTGGCCAAGGATTATAAAGTTAAAACTTTGACAAATGAATACATTGCCACTTCAGACTCAGGAACATGTGGGACATAATTCCAAAACAAGAGAACCATGTGTTGGTCACTTAGTCTTCTCAGAAATACCTGAAATTTCACGTTGAATAGAATTATACAAACATAAGTTAGTAATGCTGGGAAACTATAGACAAGGACAGTATTTTCCACAGATAAGTACACTTCTATTTGAAAAATAAAAAAAGCTTAACAGTTTTAATTTTTATCCCATAGCGACGTAGAAATCAAAAATTAGCTACAATTTACAATCATCATGAAACAAAATAAAAATGTTAAAGAAAAACTTTAATCAAGGCTGTGTAATATTAGCATAAACATAGACATATAAGCCACCGGGACAGACTTAAGAATCCAGAAATAACTCTAGTGTTTTTATGGTCAATTGATTTTCAAAAAGGGGCCAAGATAGTCCAATCAGGAAACAACTTGGTTTCAACAAATGAAACTGGGACAACGTGCAAGAGAATGAATTTGAATTTTTATCTCACATCATGCACAAAAATGAACTCAAAGTGGATCATAAACTGCAATATATGAGATAAAACTACATTCCACATAGAAGAAAACACAGAAGTAAATCTTCATTATTTGGATTAGTCAGTACATTTTGAGATATGACACAAAATGCACAAAGGATTAATGATAACATTGACAAATTGGATCTCATCAATTTTTAAAAATGTATTTCAAGGAGCACCATCCTAAAGTGAAAAACAACCTACAATGAGAGAAAATATTTTAAAATTATGTATATGGTGTGAAACATGTCTCGAGAATACATGAAGAACTATTACAACTTAATAAAGAGAAACAATCTAATTAAAAATGGGCAAAATATTTGAATAGACATTCCTTTAAAAAAAGATATGTGAATAGCCAACAAGCACAGGGAAATATGATCGTGATCACTGATCATTGGTCATTAGAGAAATGCAATTTAAAACTATAAAGAGATTTGACTTCATACATACTTTGTGTCTATAGTGAAAAAAGAAAGGCAAAAACGAGTATGACTAAGAGTGTGGGGACGTTGAAATCGGCATAAATTTATGTGGCCATGTACAATGTGCATGTATGAGTTCCTTTTTGCACTGCTATAAAGAAACGCTTGAGACTGAGTATTTTGTAATGAAAAGATGTTGAATTGCCTCACAGTTCTGCAGGCTGTACAGGAAACATGATGCTGGCACCAGTTCTGCTTCTGGGGAAGCCTCAGGAAACTTACAGTCATGATGGAAGGCAAATCGGGGAGTCAGAGCTTCACATGGCTTGAGCAGGAGGAAGAGAGAGGGAGGGGAAATGCCACACACTTTTAAACAAGCAGATCTCCTAACCTCTATCAAAAGAGCAGCACCAAGGGGGGTGGTGCTAAACCATTCATGACAAACTGCCCCCATGAGCCAATCACCTTCCAGCAGGTCCTATCTCCTACGTTGGTGACAATTTGACAGGAGATTTGGGCAAGGACACAGATTGAAACCGTATGAGTACCCTTTGGAGAAGTGACCTTTTCTCCAAATGGTAGACAGAGTTACTGCATAAGTGAGCATTCTGTTCATATACAAGAGAAATGAAGACATGCATCTACATAATAGTTTGCACAAAGAAAGTTCATAAAAGAATTATTTATAATGGTACAAAAGTGGAAACAAGTCAGATATCCATCTGCAGATGAAAGAATAAACAAAATGTTGCCTATCTGTAATAATATAATATTACTCATCAATGGAAGGTAATGAGGTACTGAAACATGCTACAACAGATATGAACTTTGAAGATATTATGCTAAGCGAAATAAGTCAGTCACAAAAAGAGTACGTGTTACATTATTTCATTTGTATAAAATTTTCATAATAGGCACATCTATAAGACAAAAAATTGATCAATGATTGCCTGAAAATGAGGAGTGGGAGAGAATGGAGAGTGACGGTTAATAGATACAGTGTTGAAAATGTCCTAAAATTGATTATGGTGATGACTGAACTACTCTGTGATTATGCTAAAAACCATTGAATTGTACCCTTTAAATTGGTGAATTTTATGATATCTGAATTAAAATGTTAATAAAGCTGTCAGCAAAAGAAAAAGACAACAATTAAGTTTTCACTTTCTCTGGTAAGCAGGAAGCCTAGGTCTCTCAAGAATTTCCATTCCTGTTTTTCCCTTGATGCCAAGAGATTTTTCAATTGCTGATTGTGAAATCTAATGAGCTACTGGTTTTGCCAAATAAATTATCTAAATGCACTGCTTTCCTGTATCTCTAGTGCTCCTCTCATCTCTGCATTTGGAATGAAAAAGATAATGGCTAGGTTACAGAGGTTCTTAAAGGTGTAAATTATGTCAATGCAAAATCCTTTTAGTCTAAATTGACCATGATTCTTAATGTTAAGGCTCTTAGGTCAACCTGGACAGATCTCCTTAAGACGCAAACTGCTTCCAGGAAAGCTAAAGCAGAACATGTCCTTGTAACGGTTGTGTGATCCCTTTTGATGATCATTCTTGACTCAGGGTCCCGTACACTGGGCCCATTGCCTTCTATCCTATGGTCACTTTGTTTCCACCACCTCATTGCTGTTGTTCCCATTGATATTTACAGAGTAGCCTGAACTGGTAGAAATACATTTCAATGCATTTGAAATGGAGAACAATAACTGACATTGCAACTGCCACCTTCTTTGAAACTTCTGAGATTCATGTTCAAAAATTTGCACCATCACTTCTCTATAACTTTCAAGGATTTGAACAATCCGGGTACTGCTTATAGTTTGAATATTTGACAATCCGAACCTCATTATGAAATTTGATCCCCCATGTTGGAGATGGAGCCTAATGGGATTTGTTTGGGTCATGAAGGCAAACAGCGTATGAATGGCTTGTTACCAAAGGTAATGAATGAGTTCTTGCTTTATTAGTTCCCACAACAACTGGTTGTAAAAAAAGAGCTTGGCATCACCCCTCTTCTCTTGCTTCCTTTCTCACCATATGATCTCTGCACATGGCCTTCACCTTTGGCAATGAGTAGAAGTACTCTCAGCCCCTCACCAGAATCAGATGCTGGCAATATGCTTCTTGTACAGCCTGTAGAACTGTGAGACAAATATACTTATTTTCTTTGTAAATTATCCAGCCATAAGTATTCCTTTATAGCAACACAAATGGACTAAGAAAGGTACACTAAAAAAATAAGCAATGTTCTACCTCATCAGATACTTCAATATATGCAAATAATGTTTGGGTTATATTTTATATCTTAAAGCAAAATGAAAAATATTTAAATGTCTATTGTATACTTTAAATACCACATTATTTTATGCTATAATGCAAATTATCCCAATAAGCATCATTATAATACCATTACTTTCCTTTTCTTTAATGAAATAAAAGTTTGCCAAAGTTTTCTTGCATTTCTTTAAAAAAATTAGTAGTAATGAATAATCATCTTAATGTCAGTATGGGCTTACAAAGTACTGAATTATTATCATTTTAATAAATTGGCTTAGTCACACAGCCAAGAAAGAAACTGGGTCTTTAAAGAAAAGACCTTGGTTTTTTGAAAATCACAAACATTGGTTATAAAAATCATTCAGTGCCATGTATTAAGTGGCCATATCTGTATGATTCTGTAATGCCCTATTCCAGTATCTTTTCATAGTGTCTGTCTTGATAGTGGCGTACGATTTAGCAAATATTCACTCAGCAGTCATCCACAAATAAGTACACATTTAAGTAAGATATATGAAAACTTCCCGTATAAATATGATGGCCTAATGTCATAGTTATTTATTAAGGGAGGTTGAGGAATTGCCATCTCTCAAGTATTTATGAGTTGTTATCGCTGAAGGATGGGATCTGTGATGCCAACACTTAAAATCAGTGCTAAACAAGATAATTTCAAAAATTATCTCCATCTCCGGTCCAAATTCTATTAAAATAATCAAAACCACAATGAGATACCATCTCACACCAATTAGAATGGCAATCATTAAAAAGTCAGGAAACAACAGGTGCTGGAGAGGATGTGGAGAAATAGGAACACTTTTACACTGTT